ATTGTGACTTTTTGTGTCATCATTTTAACTTTTATTATATGACTTATGCTGAAATGAAAAAAAAGTCAAAATTATAACTAGTAAAATCTTGACTTTTGTGTCTTAAATTTTTATTTTTGTCCTAATTCTGACATGTCCTAATTTCAACTTTTTATGTCAGAATTTTGTCTTTTTGTCAATTTTGACTTTATCTCATAAATACTACTTTTTATGTCATCATTTGGACTTTTTATGTCACAATTATGCTTTTTATGTGACCACTTGGACTAATTTTTACTTATGTCATACTTTTTTGATACTATTTTTGACTTTTATATCATAATTATGGCAAAAAGAGTCAAAACCATGACTTAATACGTCTATTAAAACTTACCAGGCTATGTCTTCTGACGTTGTATGTCATATTTCTTTTTGCAAACAAAATACATGAAGAGTATTTTTCATAAATGTGATTTATGTTTGTTGTTAGCCAAACAGTGTTACCTGTTACATTTTACTGCTTCATGAATTGTTTTGTGTTTTATGATTGATAAGCCCCAGAATTTGCCTGTCAAAAATAAAAACACACACTATTCACTGGAGTGTGACAACTAGCCCCGGTGTCCCGTACAGGCAAGACCAGATGTTTAGCATTTTACAAAGTAGAAGTTCAAAGTGCTTTAGCAAAGAAAAAAGAAATACCATTACATGAAAGTCGACTTTAAAATGAGATTTTTGAGAAAATAAATATGGAAGGGAATTATATGCCACAATATTACATTTGTTGGCATGATGCAGTGCAATATAGTACAAATACATGGGCCTGTCATATTAAAAAACAATAAATGGCACACAGTGTGTACAGTGTAGCAGAATAATAACTAGTGTGTAATGAAATGTGTGACATGGACGCAGCGGCAGCTCTTTCTCTCGCGTGCACGAGCGCGCGTGTGATTGGCCGCTGATCCCTGCGCGTTCACCCTCTAGTTGTGAGATTTGCGCGCCGCCGCTCGCTGAGAGGAGAGGAAAGCGATAGTTGTTACACCGAGGGGCAAATATCTCATCGATTCCGATGAATAACTGCCTCTGCTACCCCTGCAGCTGACGCACTGCCCCGAGGAGCGACGCGCGCGATTCTGTGAGGTAAATACTTCTACAGTCTGCGGGGAAATGTGTGTTTATTCGACGCGTGACGCGGGACCATTAAACACCTTCCTCCCATCCGTCAGTGTTTCATCCTCATCATCTCCGAGGCCGCTCGTGCCGTGTGTGTGTGTGTGTGTGTGTGTGTCTGTGTGTGTGTCAGTGTTGTGCTTTTGTGTGCCAGTGTTGTTCTGTTGTGTGTCGGTGTTGTGCTGTTGTGTGTCAGTGTTGTGCTTTTGTGTTTCAGTGTTGTGCTGTTGTGTGTCAGTGTTGTGCTTTTGTGTGTCGGTGTTGTGCTTTTGTGTGTCAGTTTTGTGCTGTTGTGTGTCAGTGTTGTGCTGTTGTGTGTCAGTGTTGTGCTTTTGTGTGTCAGTTTTGTGCTGTTCTGTGCCAGTGTTGTGGTGTTGTGTGTCAGTGTTGTGCTGTTGTGTGTCAGTGTTGTGCTGTTGTATGTCAGTGCTGTGCTGTTGTGTGCCAGTGTTGTGCTGTTGTGTGCCAGTGTTGTGCTGTTGTGTGTCAGTGTTGTGGTGTTGTGTGTCAGTGTTGTGCTGTTGTGTGTCAGTGTTGTGCTTAACTGTTATGTGTTTCAGTGTTGTGCTTTTGTGTGTGTCAGTGTTATGCTTTTGTGTTTAAGTATTGTGCTGTTGTTTTGTGTGTCAGTGTTGTGCTGTTCTGTGTCAGTGTTGTGCTTTTGTGTGTCAGTGTTGTGTGTCAGTGATGTGGTGTTGTGTCAGTGTTGTGTGTCAGTGTTGTGCTGTTGTGTGTCAGTGTTGTGCTGTTGTGTGTCAGTGTTGTGCTGTTGTGTGCCAGTGTTGTGCTGTTGTGTGCCAGTGTTGTGCTGTTGTGTGTTAGTGCTGTGGTGTTGTGTGTCAGTGTTGTACTGTTGTGTGTCAGTGTTGTGTGCCAGTGTTGTGCTGTTGTGTGCCAGTGTTGTGCTGTTGTGTGCCAGTGTTGTGCTGTTGTGTGTCAGTGTTGTGTGCCAGTGTTGTGCTGTTGTGTGTTAGTGCTGTGCTGTTGTGTGTCAGTGCTGTGCTGTTGTGTGTCAGTGTTGTGCTTTTGTGTGTCAGTGTTGTGCTTTTGTGTGTCAGTGTTGTGCTTTTGTGTTTCAGTGTTGTGCTTTTGTGTGTCAGTGTTGTGTGTCAGTGTTGTGCTGTTGTGTGTCAGTGTTGTGCTGTTGTGTGTCAGTGTTGTGCTTTTGTGTTTCAGTGTTGTGCTGTTGTGTGTCGGTGTTGTGCTGTTGTGTGTCGGTGTTGTGCTTTTGTGTGTCGGTGTTGTGCGTTTGTGTGTCGGTGTTGTGCTTTTGTGTGTCAGTTTTGTGCTGTTGTGTGCCAGTGTTGTGCTGTTGTGTGTCAGTGTTGTGCTGTTGTGTGTCAGTGTTGTGCTTTTGTGTGTCAGTTTTGTGCTGTTGTGTGCCAGTGTTGTGCTGTTGTGTGTCAGTGTTGTGCTGTTGTGTGTCAGTGTTGTGCTTTTGTGTGTCAGTTTTGTGCTGTTGTGTGCCAGTGTTGTGGTGTTGTGTGTCAGTGTTGTGCTGTTGTGTGTCAGTGTTGTGCTGTTGTGTGTCAGTGCTGTGCTGTTGTGTGTCAGTGTTGTGCTGTTGTGTGCCAGTGTTGTGCTGTTGTGTGTCAGTGTTGTGCTGTTGTGTGTCAGTGTTGTGCTGTTGTGTGCCAGTGTTGTGCTGTTGTGTGTCAGTGTTGTGCTGTTGTGTGTCAGTGTTGTGCTTAACTGTTATGTGTTTCAGTGTTGTGCTTTTGTGTGTGTCAGTGTTATGCTTTTGTGTTTAAGTATTGTGCTGTTGTTTTGTTTGTCAGTGTTGTGCTGTTCTGTGTCAGTGTTGTGCTTTTGTGTGTCAGTGTTGTGTGTCAGTGATGTGGTGTTGTGTCAGTGTTGTGAGTCAGTGCTGTGCTGTTGTGAGTCAGTGTTGTGGTGTTGTCTGTCAGTGTTGTGCTGTTCTGTGTCAGTGTTGTGCTGTTGTGTGTCAGTGTTGTGCTGTTGTGTGTCAGTGTTGTGCTGTTGTGTGTCAGTGTTGTGTTGTTGCGTGTCAGTGTTGTGCTGTTGTGTGTGCCAGTGTTGTGCTGTTGTGTGTCAGTGTTGTGCTGTTGTGTGTCAGTGTTGTGTTGTTGCGTGTCAGTGTTGTGCTGTTGTGTGTGCCAGTGTTGTGCTGTTGTGTGTCAGTGCTGTGCTGTTGTGTGCCAGTGTTGTGCTGTTGTGTGTCAGTGTTGTGCTGTTGTGTGTCAGTGTTGTGCTGTTGTGTGTCAGTGTTGTGCTTAACTGTTATGTGTTTCAGTGTTGTGCTTTTGTGTGTGTCAGTGTTGTGCTGTTCTGTGTCAGTGTTGTGCTTTTGTGTGTCAGTGTTTTGTGTCAGTGCTGTGCTGTTCTGTGTCAGTGTTGTGCTGTTGTGTGTCAGTGTTGTGCTGTTGTGTGTCAGTGTTGTGTTGTTGCGTGTCAGTGTTGTGCTGTTGTGTGTCAGTGTTGTGTTGTTGCGTGTCAGTGTTGTGCTGTTGTGTGTGCCAGTGTTGTGCTGTTGTGTGTCAGTGCTGTGCTGTTGTGTGCCAGTGTTGTGCTGTTGTGTGTCAGTGTTGTGCTGTTGTGTGTCAGTGTTGTGCTGTTGTGTGTCAGTGTTGTGCTTAACTGTTATGTGTTTCAGTGTTGTGCTTTTGTGTGTGTCAGTGTTGTGCTGTTGTGTGTCAGTGTTGTGCTTTTGTGTGTCAGTGTTTTGTGTCAGTGCTGTGCTGTTCTGTGTCAGTGTTGTGCTGTTGTGTGTCAGTGTTGTGCTGTTGTGTGTCAGTGTTGTGTTGTTGCGTGTCAGTGTTGTGCTGTTGTGTGTCAGTGTTGTGTTGTTGCGTGTCAGTGTTGTGCTGTTGTGTGTGCCAGTGTTGTGCTGTTGTGTGTCAGTGCTGTGCTGTTGTGTGCCAGTGTTGTGCTGTTGTGTGTCAGTGTTGTGCTGTTGTGTGTCAGTGTTGTGCTTAACTGTTATGTGTTTCAGTGTTGTGCTTTTGTGTGTGTCAGTGCTGTGCTGTTCTGTGCCAGTGTTGTGCTGTTGTGTGTCAGTGTTGTGCTGTTGTGTGTCAGTGTTGTGCTGTTGTGTGTCAGTGTTGTGCTTAACTGTTATGTGTTTCAGTGTTGTGCTGTTGTGTGTCAGTGTTGTGCTGTTGTGTGTCAGTGTTGTGTTGTTGCGTGTCAGTGTTGTGCTGTTGTGTGTCAGTGTTGTGCTGTTCTCTATCTATCTATCTATCTATCTATCTATCTATCTATCTGTTCTCTATCTATCTATCTATCTATCTATCTATCTATCTATCTATCTATCTATCTATCTATCTATCTATCTATCTATCTCTGTCATCTATCTATCTATCTATCTATCTATCTATCTATCTATGCTTCTTGTGCTTTTGTGTGTCAGTGTTGTGTGTCAGTGTTGTGCTGTTGTGTGTCAGTGTTGTGTGTCAGTGTTGTGTGTCAGTGTTGTGCTGTTATCTATCTATCTATCTATCTATCTATCTATCTATCTATCTATCTATCTATCTATCTATCTATCTATCTATCTATCTATCTATCTATCTATCTAGCCTGTCATCTATCTATCTATCTATCTATCTATCTATCTATCTATCTATCTATCTATCTATCTATCTATCTATCTATCTATCTATCTATCTATCTATCTATCTATCTCTGTCATCTATCTATCTATCTATCTCTGCCATCCATCCAATCTCTCAGAGTAATCAATTATTTGTTGATTTTGCCATGAATATAGACATTGCTGCAGGTGTTAATGGTCTTAAATCATAAATAAATAAATAAGTACCCCCCCCCCCCCCTCTCTCTCTCTTCTCCCCCCCCCCCCCCCCCCTCTCTCTTCTCTCCCCCCCCAACCAGGCTCAGGTTGAGGAATGGCTCAGCTGGGATCGGCTCAGACTCAGAGCACTAATGGAGTGGCGGATGAGTCTCCCAACATGCTGGTGTACAGGAAAGTAAGTCCAGCGGATCCCTCATCTCTGAACACCGGCACACAGGACCGATCCCGCTCAGTCAGCAGTCTTCAGCATGAGATGATGGGGGGGGGGGGACCGATTCATGCATCGCGATGCGGACGTGGACGATTCTGAATCGATTCACAAATGTCAGAAATCTATATATATATATTTTTTTCTAATAACGTAATATTGACGGAGCGCATAAGGCGTAACTCTGGAGCGGACGTGCAGTACCCGGCCAGTCTGTGTGTGCGCATAACAGAGACGCATGATGAGCACGAAATCTGAACAGCACACTCTTCGTAAAAGCTAACGTATGGAAAATTGGCATAATTTCATTGTGGCCTTTTTTCTATTTTTGTATGAGAGCTGCTGGTACATAATTCTATATTTTTGTATAAAAGCTGCTGGTACATAATTCTATATTTTTGTCTGAACGCTGCTGGTACATAATTCTATATTTTTTAATGAGAGCTGCTGGTACATAATTCTATATTTTTGAATGAGAGCTGCTGGTACATAATTCTATATTTTTGTATGAGAGCTGCTGGTACATAATTCTATATTTTTGAATGAGAGTTGCTGGTACATAATTCTATATTTTTGAATGAGAGTTGCTGGTACATAATTCTATATTTTTTAATGAGAGCTGCTGGTACATAATTCTATATTTTTGAATGAGAGCTACTGGTACATAATTCTATATTTTTGTATGAGAGCTGCTGGTACATAATTCTATATTTTTGTCTGAACGCTGCTGGGTTGGGTTGCACCAGCCGTTCGTAACTTCTTTCTTAAATTGTAACGTAAAGTCCACACTAGAGGCTTAGTAACTACTAGCTAGTTTGTAACTAACTCTGTACTTTATTCCGTTGCACCATTTGTTCGTAAGGTAGAACTTAGCTAGTAGGTCGTAAACTCTCCGTAAAGTAATGCGTAGTCGCATAATATGACGTTTAGCCTCGATGAACCAATAGCAGCCTTCAAATACGTGAGCAGAAGTTGTGTTGAAATGCCGTGAATTTCAGTTTATCCTTCATTCTAACTTCTTTTGCCTCACGTTACTAACGGTAAAAATAAGTTTCCATTTAATACGATACTTGATCATAAATAACATAAGTGTTTTTATATATAAATAACATTCAGAAACTGTATTTGAAATGAAATTAATAAGGATCAATAAATAAATATTCATACAAAAAAACAAGAAATTACGTTTATTGATTATGACTGATATTTGACATGCACAACATGGACCGATGCACACAGCGGCGCTGTTTACCTATTTTTTACAGTCTATGTTTAGGACGGGTTCGTGTTAAAGAGCTGCTAACAAAGTAATCTTTTCACATAATGTTCTCTCTCTTAAAATGTATGCGAGTGTAAATGTCAGTATTATCATATATGTCTAAAGAATTGAAGTCTGTCAGGTAAAAGAAGAGCTTATTGATGCAGTTCAGTCTGTCTGATATTTTATTCCAACCGTTACTCCTGATCGGAGCTGCCGTAAATATTTAGTTGGAACGTAGAGTTACGTTTAAACTAAGTTTAATGGTGCAACGGAAAAATATTTAGTAGTGCGTAAGTTGTAACTTAGTGCCCATTTACGTCAAAACTAGGCTAAGTTGTAACTTACGCACAGCTGGTGCAACCGGCCCCTGGTACATAATTCTATATTTTTGTCTGAACGCTGCTGGTACATAATTCTATATTTTTGTATGAGAGCTGCTGGTACATAATTCTATATTTTTGAATGAGAGCTGCTGGTACATAATTCTATATTTTTGAATGAGAGCTGCTGGTACATAATTCTATATTTTTGAATGAGAGCTGCTGGTACATAATTCTATATTTTTGTATGAGAGCTACTGGTACATAATTCTATATTTTTGAATGAGAGCTACTTGTACATAATTCTATATTTTTGTATGAGAGCTACTGGTACATAATTCTATATTTTTGAATGAGAGCTACTGGTACATAATTCTATATTTTTGTATGAGAGCTACTTGTACATAATTCTATATTTTTGTATGAGAGCTACTGGTACATAATTCTATATTTTTGAATGAGAGCTACTGGTACATAATTCTATATTTTTGTATGAGAGCTACTGGTACATAATTCTATATTTTTTAATGAGAGCTGCTGGTACATAATTCTATATTTTTGAATGAGAGCTGCTGGTACATAATTCTATATTTTTGAATGAGAGCTGCTGGTACATAATTCTATATTTTTGTATGAGAGCTACTGGTACATAATTCTATATTTTTGAATGAGAGCTGCTGGTACATAATTCTATATTTTTGAATGAGAGCTGCTGGTACATAATTCTATATTTTTTAATGAGAGCTGCTGGTACATAATTCTATATTTTTGAATGAGAGCTGCTGGTACATAATTCTATATTTTTGAATGAGAGCTGCTGGTACATAATTCTATATTTTTGTATGAGAGCTGCTGGTACATAATTCTATATTTTTGTATAAAAGCTGCTGGTACATAATTCTATATTTTTGTATAAAAGCTGCTGGTACATAATTCTATATTTTTGAATGAGAGCTGCTAGTACATAATTCTATATTTTTGAATGAGAGCTGCTGGTACATAATTCTATATTTTTTAATGAGAGCTGCTGGTACATAATTCTATATTTTTGAATGAGAGCTGCTGGTACATAATTCTATATTTTTGAATGAGAGCTGCTGGTACATAATTCTATATTTTTGAATGAGAGCTGCTGGTACATAATTCTATATTTTTGAATGAGAGCTGCTGGTACATAATTCTATATTTTTGAATGAGAGCTGCTGGTACATAATTCTATATTTTTGAATGAGAGCTGCTGGTACATAATTCTATATTTTTGTATAAAAGCTGCTGGTACATAATTCTATATTTTTGTATGAGAGCTGCTGGTACATAATTCAATATTTTTGAATGAGAACTGCTGGTACATAATTCTATATTTTTGTATGAAAGCTGCTGGTGCATAATTTTATATTTTTGTATGAGAGCTGCTGGTACATAATTCTATATTTTTGTATAAAAGCTGCTGGTACATAATTCTATATTTTTGTATAAAAGCTGCTGGTACATAATTCTATATTTTTGAATGAGAGCTGCTGGTGCATAATTCTATATTTTTGTATGAGAGCTGCTGGTACATAATTCTATATTTTTTTATGAAAGCTGCTGGTACATAATTCTATATTTTTGTATAAAAGCTGCTGGTACATAATTCTATATTTTTGTATAAAAGCTGCTGGTACATAATTCTATATTTTTGTATAAAAGCTGCTGGTACATAATTCTATATTTTTGAATGAGAGCTGCTGGTACATAATTCTATATTTTTGAATGAGAGCTGCTGGTACATAATTCTATATTTTTGTATGAAAGCTGCTGGTGCATAATTCTATATTTTTGTATGAGAGCTGCTGGTACATAATTCTATATTTTTGTATAAAAGCTGCTGGTACATAATTCTATATTTTTGAATGAGAGCTGCTGGTACATAATTCTATATTTTTGTATGAGAGCTGCTGGTACATAATTCTATATTTTTGAAGGAGAGCTGCTGGTACATAATTCTATATTTTTGTATGAGAGCTGCTGGTACATAATTCTATATTTTTGAAGGAGAGCTGCTGGTACATAATTCTATATTTTTGTATGAGAGCTGCTGGTACATAATTCTATATTTTTGAAGGAGAGCTGCTGGTACATAATTCTATATTTTTGTATGAGAGCTGCTGGTACATAATTCTATATTTTTGAAGGAGAGCTGCTGGTACATAATTCTATATTTTTGAATGAGAGCTGCTGGTACATAATTCTATATTTTTGAATGAGAGCTGCTGGTACATAATTCTATATTTTTGAATGAGAGCTGCTGGTACATAATTCTATATTTTTGAATGAGAGCTGCTGGTACATAATTCTATATTTTTGTATGAGAGCTACTGGTACATAATTCTGCCGCACGTATTCTGACTAGAACAAGACAAAGGGATCATATAACACCTATTTTAGAGACCTTGCATTGGTTACCTGTTAAATTTCGTGTTGATTTTAAAATTCTTATGTTGACGTACAAGGCATTAAATGGACTCGCTCCGCAATATCTCGCCGAGCTTTTAATGCCTTACATTCCGACACGTAATCATCGCTCCGCCGATGCTGGTCTCTTAGTCGTTCCGGTAACGAACCGAAAAACAATGGGTGATAGGGCGTTCTCTTCAGTTGCCCCAAAGTTATGGAACTCCTTGCCTTCCGAAATAAGATTTGCACCATCTTTGAAAAGGTTTAAATCATCCCTTAAAAATTATTATTTTACGGAAGCATTTGGATAAAGGTGATATTGGTGGTTGTTAATGAGATGTATCTTATGGGTTTCTCTATGTCTTGATATTTATTTTTAAATTTGTTTTTAGGTTTGTAATTTTGTGCGAAATACTTTGTATTTTGCGACCATGTATTTTTTTTATGTGTTTTCTTATTTACGCTTATGTAAAGCGCTCTGAGAATTAACTTTAAAAGCGCTATACAAAATAAAGTTATTATTATTATTATTATTATAATTCTATATTTTTGTATAAAAGCTGCTGGTACATAATTCTATATTTTTGTATAAAAGCTGCTGGTACATAATTCTATATTTTTGAATGAGAGCTGCTGGTACATAATTCTATATTTTTGTATGAAAGCTGCTGGTGCATAATTCTATATTTTTGTATGAGAGCTGCTGGTACATAATTCTATATTTTTGTATAAAAGCTGCTGGTACATAATTCTATATTTTTGAATGAGAGCTGCTGGTACATAATTCTATATTTTTGTATGAGAGCTGCTGGTGCATAATTCTATGTTTTTGAAGGAGAGCTGCTGGTACATAATTCTATATTTTTGAATGAGAGCTGCTGGTACATAATTCTATATTTTTGAATGAGAGCTGCTGGTGCATAATTCTATATTTTTTAATGAGAGCTGCT